AACGATCTCCCCATGGAGATTCGGACCCTCACCACCCTTCAGGCTTTCGTAAAGCCGTTAAGACCTGGCTGTTCCAGCAGGCCTGGGGCTGTTGAGTTCCATCCCCTACTCGAATCGGTGTGCTCGTTGAGACCTTTTAAATTGAATGGAAAAAAAGGCATCTTAGAGACAACTGTGATCTAAATGACTCCACAGATACCTAGAACCAGAATGAAATGCTACCAGTTCAGAACAATTCACCCGAACTGGTAGTAAAAAAATGCTACAGGTTCGGGCGAACCGGTATTTCCAATGATCAGCTGTGACACATGATTTATATTAGCTAGAAAGCAGGATTTCCTGCTTTCTAGCTAATGTAAATCCCGTAGCACAGTGGCTTCCCCCAACTTGCTGTTCTACTTACCTTTGCAGGCCCATTCGGTAGCAGGTTCCGCCCACCCGTCCTGATGTCATCACATTTGTTTTTGACACTCTGTGCATGGATGGAATGCACATTTGTTTTTGACACTCTGCGCATGTGTGGAGGTGGTGTGTGCAAGCGAACCAAGTGTGTGCACTCTCATTTGAAAACTGATAGTGAAGGTAAGTAGATTACACCTCTGCCTAAAATCACATTACTTCCTTCAGATGCAGCCTTTTCAAACACTGCTGCCAAATTGTAATTTAATATGACTGAATGCATGAAAAAGACATGTATATTATTCTGCTCTTAAAACATACTCAGTTAAGTAATAGTAATTACAAAGATTGTCAGCAAGTAATGGGGGGAGACAGCCTAAAGGAACAAGTTGTCCTGCACCTCCATGGTGTAATAAAATATATAGTCCCTGGAATAATTTCTCTTAATTCTCACCAACTCCCACATCCATTTTGCTGAGTGAGATTTAATAAATCTTCTGGTCTCAGATTAAATTTTACTGTTTTATGAACTGTAAAATTGCACTATATGCCTATTAAAGCTGGTGTTTTCTCACTTCTTGACACATTTAAAACTCCGCCCTAGGGTATAATTAAACAAGCAGAAAATATTTTATTTTCATTACTGCAGTTTATCCCAACTGGGGGCAAAATATGAATATCAGCAAGCCTTCGAACAACAAAAAATACACACTTTCTAATTTGACCTGAGTAGAAAACAGCTACATATTAATATTAATATTGACATCATAGGCAACATTATTTTAAGAATACAAATATTTACCCAGCGAATCCTAAGTAATTTTAAATTTAAGGCAATGTATGTTGAAAATTTTTAACTACAAAAAATGTCTTCATATCCTCAGAATTTGGAAGAATTGAGACAAAGGATAATGAAAAGAAATGTCTCTTTTTAAAAGAAATAATGACTGGATCGTCAGAAAGAGGCTGGTAGCCTCTTTTCTGTCTAATGCATTTTATTAAAAGCTATATTTTTTATAATCTGCAGCTCGTGTCATTGGATATGTACAGTGTCTGAAATGTTGCAGGATTTAAATTGGGATAAAGAGGGAACGAAAGGTGGAGGGGGGGGGAGAGGAAACCATAGGTTGATAATGCACATTGAGGTGACATCTGAGACAGATTGCAAATACCTTATCAGTCAACAGGCATTTGGGTCAGGAAGTTAGTTGAGCTTTGCTGCTGCTGCTGCGTTTTCCTGTGAGTAGGATCATGTTCTAACTTTGAGCACCAAGGGTTGTATGTTATGATATGCCATCCAGAGTCATATGTTGCCTGGTATATATGCAACTTAGAGACACCCTGTGAAATGGATGGCCAAATAAGTACCGTATTTTCCCCCATATAACCCGCGGGTTATATG